TCCAATTTTCCATCGATCAAAACACTCCTTATCGCTTTACCACGAACCCTAAGTTCTGCGTTAATCAAATCCAATGGCGACTCTGTTTACTTCTCCACAATCAATGGCAACACTCTCATCACCGATTTTCCAAAAGCCCCAAATCTTCACATTATCGTCTAGCTCTTCCAATTTCTTGAATCCGTCGAAGAATCTGAAACCCATTGCGATTGCGATTCGACCCCGAAAATGGCGCGGCAAGTCGCTCTCCGTGCAGATGTCCTGGGACGGCCCGCTCTCCTCGGTCAAGCTGATCATACAAGGAAAGAATTTGGAGGTACTCTTTCATCAGTTTTTTAGGTTTAAATTTGGTTGCTTTTGGCATATTTTGAGGTTTGCATTGATGTGTTTAATGAACTTTGTGTTTTTGGACAAAACATTGTAGAAAATACCATTAATTGGGAATCTAAATTGTATTTTGCATTGGCTTTTTATCCAAAATATTGTCTGAAATTGACGTAACTTCTTATTTTCGTTATGTGCTTTAAAATCAATCAAAGTGGTCAATCAATTGTCAACCGTCAATCATTTTAGTTATTTTATGAGTCATTTGATTAGAGATCTCCTTTAAATTGATGATATTTTTGTCAAATCAACTCCTTTTATTAGAAATTTTTACATAATGATCAAAATGATTGACGAACAATCTCATGGACCACTTCTATCTATTTTAAACCTTAGAAACCAAAATGAGGAGTTATGGTAATCAGGACAATTTTGGCTAAAAAAAAAAAAGCCTTGATTTGTTTATTGTATGAGTAAATTGTACAAATGGTCCCTCAATTTTAATCAAATTGGAGCAATGGTCCCTCAACTAAAAATCCATTACCATTGGTCCCTCAACTTATCAAAATGTGTAGCTATAGTCCTTTTCATCAATTTTGTCAAAATTTTGTCAAAATAAGCTATGTTGGAATGACCATTTATATAATTAGGGTCCCTTAACTCATCAAAGTGTATAATTATGGTTCTTTTCGTCAACTATGTTAAAAAATTTGTCAAAACGAGTTATATTGGAATGACCATTGCTACAATTGAGTTAAAATTAAAGGACCATTTCTCCACTTGAATTAAAGTTCAGGGACCAATGGTAATGGATTTTTAGTTGAGGGACCATAGCTGCACGTTTTGATAAGTTGAGGGACCAAAGGTAATGGATTTTTAGTTGAGGGACCATTGCTCCAATTTGATTAAAGTTGAGGGACCATTTGTACAATTTCCTCTTATTGTATTGTTATTTGCGGGAAGTGCATTATCTGTGGAAAATTGGAATTTTTGTTTTTGCTTTTAACAAGTGATGGTAGAGGAGGGAGATTCGAACACAGGACCTTGGCCGGAGAATTAGAAACTTTTTCATCAATGTGGAATTTGAATGAGAAATTTTCAATCTGTGAATGCAGTTGTCGGAGGCAGTGAAGAAGCATGTGGAAGACAAGGTTGGGAAGGCGGTTCAAAAGCATAGTCACCTAGTGAGGGAAGCCGATGTTCGGTTGTCTGTTCGAGGTGGAGAGCTTGGAAAAGGCCCCAGGATTCGGAGATGTGAGGTATTGCCGTCTGATGAATTTCATGAACTGTCAGGTTATCTGCAATTGCAGCATACGGTTTGTTCCTGTGAAGCACATTTGTGTGTGTTTGTGTTTTGTTTAGGTGACTTTGTTCACGAAGAAGCATGGAGTGTTCCGAGCTGAGGAAGAAGCTGAGACACTTTACGCGAGCATAGATTTGGCATCTTCGATTATCCAGAGGAAGTTGAGGAAAATCAAGGAGAAGGAATCGGATCATGGGCGGCACATGAAAGGCTTTAACAGATCGAAAGTTAGGGAGCCTGCAATGCAAGTAGTGGCGGAAGATGAAGAGGAAGAGGCGGTTCCCCAAGAGCAGGAAGAAGACTTCATTGACGAGGTTGTCACTTGGAACTTTCACTACGCATCTGCTGATTATCTATAGAAATGCCATTCTCTCCATCGCATTCTCATTGTTCGGTCATTTTTACCAGGTTGTTCGAACAAAATACTTTGACATGCCGCCTTTGACAGTTGCTGAAGCGGTTGATCAACTGGAAAATGTTGATCACGACTTCTATGCTTTCCGAAATGAAGAAACTGGTAAGAAACTACAAAACACCCATACTGCCTTCATTTTCTCGAGCATCAGTTTTCGATTTCTGTCATCCAGTAGTTGAAGTTTTCCTCTGTTCTTGCTTAAGGTGAGATTAATGTCATATACAAACGAGAAGAAGGAGGTTATGGACTTATTATACCGAAAGGAAATGGTAAAGCGGAGAAGTCAGAGCACGTGGTGGTAGAGCGAGCTAGAGAACGCTCCTTGGCGGAATAAAGAGGCCTAGGTATTCAGTCTTGTACGGTGTTTCTAAAAGTTTGAGGGGGCGTAGTTTTTGTGACGTACGAATGAAAGCTTATTAGCAGATTAATATCATAAACATCAATTCCTCAGCTGCCTCTGCCTTTCTTTTACTCGTCTGACTGAACTGATTTGTTAACTGTTTCTGCATCTCTTTTCAGAGCCTAATACGAATTCAGATTTAACATAACATCAACGAGGAAAACGTAGAAAGTCGATATGCAAACTGCTCGAAAGGTATAGCTTTCATAACAAGGAAGCTGGGAAGATTTTACCTTGAGTAAACAGCTCAAATTGGTATCATGACTCGTTTGTATTACAAACGTTTTCATTTTGATGATCCGACAAAACTTTCATTTCGTCGTTAAGATCAACATACGCTGTCTTCTTTGTCGAAAATCTCTCGGAAGAAACAGTTAAGAGCTTGTTCAGTGACATTCCTTCCCCTAAAACCTTCTTCCTCAGTTCATACCTGGCCTTGATTCTGTCATCAAGCTTGTAACCAAGGAATGCCGGAAAGTTCAGTAACTCTCCGACTTCACGACCCATCCCATTTATCAAGTACTCCATCTTCTTCTCCAAAGCAGCATGGCTGTATTGCAGTATCTGAGGATGTTTGGTGCTCATGACAACAATGTCTGAACACGAAAGCCCGTAACTCAAGAACAACCCGACCACCTTTTGCAGATTATCGCAGCTTGTTCTGGTGGCGGATCCCATTGCTGCCGCCAAGTCTTTTGTTCTATGTTTATACCCAATCTTCACTAAAAATGCAAGCTTATATGCAATGTTGTCTTCAAAAGACAACCCTAGAAACAATGGAGCTTTGATCAAGAACTTGAAGATGTCATTCGAACTCAACCCGCACTGCTTGAGAAATTGAATTCTCGGACGCAATTTCCTCTCCCGACTGGCACTCACCACGTTGGGAAATACAAGCAGAAACCTGAAGATTTGATCGTCAGTTAGGCCGGCATTCGACCTCAACAAATCGACATGGCCCTCCGTGTGATCCACGGTATAGCTCAAGATTGCAGGGAGCTTACCCAACAGAGTCCCCGTGGCCTCATCATCTCCGCCACTGAGCTCTGCCAGGAACCCTACTCTCGGAACCAGCTGGGTCTCCAGATCAAAATTGAGAAGCGTCGGACGCATTACTATCAAATCAATGCCACCAAAGCGGTCGAAGAATGCGATTGTTCTTTCGATTTCTTCAAGTGACTTGAGACACAATGCCTTGTACAGATTAACCTTGTTGAGAACATCAAAAATCTTGTCAACTGGAACTCCGCGGTGAAGAAGCAATCTGACTTTCTGATCAAAACCCACCAAGAATCTTGCTTCTGTTGTTCTCAAAAGCCGTTTCAGCTGCAGCGGCTCGATCTTCCCTTCCAAATCGTCGAGAACAAATTGCAGAAACGGACCTATTTCCTCAGCTGTTAACAAACTTGGGGATTTTGTAATCAACTGAGAAAGCACAAGGCCGTCGATTCCAACAGAACGGAAGGAATGAACCCGAGCTCGCAGTGAATCCAAAGATGTCGACGCCACAGCTGGATTCTTGACCAAAAGCACTCGGCTTTCATCCTCGCCGACCCCAATTTCTTGAAAGAACGAGAACAGCATTCCTGGCACAGGATATAACGATTAAAATCATGCAGGCAATGTGTTTGACAAAAGGCCTCTCAGAGTTCCTTACCTACTTCGGCGAGGACATTGGCGGGGGAGTTGATATAACGGCATTGGAGAAGAAACTGTTGATTTTGACGGAGACCCAGTTGGGTTAACGACGGTTGTCGTTCAAAGTTCTGGGCTTTGGTGAACTTTAACGGAGAAAAACATTCACGGGCTCGGAAGATTGAAGGTGAAAGCGACGAGAAATGAGCGGCGGCCGGCGGAGGAGGAGCTAGTGAGAATGAAAAGAGAGAATCGGAGGAAGAAGAAGAAGAAGAAGAAGCGGGAAAAGGGTGAGTGAACAAAGCGCATACGGCGACCATTTTCCTGATAAAAAATGGTTTCTTCTCCGCGTTTGGAAGGATTGAGCTTTTGTTTACAGTCGTTTGTGGCTGAGGTGAAGACGATGCCCGGGCCTTACCTAAATGGGCCCTTCAATACAGCCACAAATCAATAGTATTATAGACCCAATAGGCCCAATGATTATCTAAATTGAAAGGGAATTCTGTATGGCATTTCCATACGAAAACTTTAATGAAAAACTCTCGGTACTGTTCACTTTAACGAAAAACCAGTTTTACACTAAAAAGTCAATCATGTTACTATTCACTTTACCCTTATTTTGTCATTTTCGTTAAAACTCAAAGTTTCAAGCTTTTTTTCATTAGTTTTCCTTTTTTTATACACTTGTTTTCTCCCAATGCACAACTCTGAAAATTTCCGGCCTTTTGATTGAATAAATTAAAGAAGAATTGTGAGAAAAATAATACGTCGAAGAAGGAGAAAAGGGGCGCGTGTAATCATTTCTCATTAGTTTTCATTTTCCATACACTTGTTTTCTCACAATACACAACTCTATATTTTCCGGCATTTCGATTGAATAAATTAAAGAAGAATTGTGAGAAAAAAATACAGGGTGAGGGTCGTAGAAGGAGAAAAGGGGCACGTGTAATCATTTCCCGTTTCGTATCAATACGATTGTAAAAATTGCAACAAGAAAAACAGAAAAATCCTTTTGGGGAAAATAGCTTCAGTTACGACATTTGTAAACACATACAAAAAGTTTCACCATTTCACAACATTTTGATTCCCAAGTCAGCATGATCGCCGGCACCGCCGTCTCGAAGCCCTGTGCGTGACCCGAACCTCCGACACTCTTTCGGAGAGGGAGATGATACGGTCAACTAAATTTTTATACCGAAAGAAACGACGCTGGTGCCATCATGTTAAGTTGTTGCATTGCCGGCAGCTCGCTCTTTCTGGTGCAAAACTCTTTTTCCGGTTTCCGGTTCAATCACGCTTTGCATTGTTTTTGGCTGTCCTTGAGAGTCTTTTTATGAAGCTTTCCTCCATTTTTATTGTCTGTAGGAAGGCCTTTTATTAATATAACAGAGGAACCGCCCTTTTTCAAATTTCGCGGTGATCGGTTCAAAGAAAACCTGCATGAAATTCAACAAGAGCAGAATAAACACCTCGGTGCATACAGGCAGCAACACAGAATATCAAAATCAGATAGTACTTTCAAGTGCACTTGCCCTTTTCTTGTATCTTTGGTTTTATTTTCCGGCAGGTGTTTGCCGAATTCTTCCCCTCTGTCATTCAGATTATCTAGGGTGTCATTCTGTGGCTTCTGTACCTGAACAATGAAGCAAGGGGAACAAACTTACATTTCTTTGTTTCATAATATTATGCACAGCTACTCTACGACTATGGCATCAAATCACATGCCGTGGTTCATACTTATTTACGTTAAGCAACAACTGCACACTAAATTCAGAATCGGAACATAAAATCTAATCAATTATTCAGCAAAACACTTGAAATCCAAAACCAGAAGGTGGAGCCGGCTACATCCAAAGCATTTAAGGGGTGCGAAAACAGAAAGATTCAGAGGCCAAGGCCATGCATAATCTCTAGAAAACTCGCGGCATTCTACTTTACACAGCCTTCAAAACAAATTATTCAGTGTACCAACTAGTTGAAGTGATATCCTTTCCCCTTCGATACTAATAGTTGTTATCAATACAATAACAAAGAGCACGGAGATTAACTGATTAGAACTCCTAATGAACAAAACCCGGAGAGGTTACTCGGGCACAATTCAAGCCTTAAAGTTTTCAATGTTAAACTTATCCAGTGTACCAACTAGAAGACTTACATAACTCTGTGAATTATGAACCAAGACACATGCAATCACAGTATATGCAGACGAAGAGAAGGCAATGATCATACTAAATCCTAAAATCGAAACAGAAAAACACATGCAATCACAAGCTATAGATACGGACTATCACACTCACTAGAGAATAGAGATGACATCACATGTTGCATTGGAAAGAACCAACGAAGATATTGCAGCCAAGAATACATCATTTTTTGTAACAAAAACAGCATTAAGCAATCGAAGAATCGCAGCGAAAATGCTAGCGCCATCCACACAACCACTTCATTTCCATACCAAACAAATCAACACATGCAATAATTGGTAATCCAATATTCGCATTCGTAGATAAACAAAACTCGCAATGATTAAGCACAATCAAGAAGGAAATATGATACCAAATTAGCAAATTAATCAAGACAGAATCTTTGTATCTTACTTGAATGGAGTTGAGAGCTATACATTCATCCCCACCAGCTTCAACATCCAACGCGGAAACCGAAACCTTAGCTTTCTTCTTGTCAATGTCATCAGCAACGTGTTCCTCAACAACCACTTTCCTCTTATGTCTCCCAAAGCTCCTCCCTTTGACCTTCTTCTCCCTAACTTTCCACACATTCTTCCTCCTAAACACCAACTTCTCCGTCTTCCAAACCCCGCAGCTCGTATCAATCACCGTCACTTCGCTCCTCGAATACCCTTTCATCTCCCCCTTCTCTTCCTCCTCCTCATCCTCCTCCCCCTCACATTGCCCACCACCCACATTCCCTCCTAGTTCCTTCTTCTTCTTCTTCCCCACCAAGCTGTTGTTATCCGACGCCACCTTGTCGAGGGCATTTTCGATATTTCCTTCACTTTCCGAGCTCTTCTCCTCCGCTTCATTCGCAGTGGCGGTGGCGTCGCCGTTAGAGTTGGTCGTGGAACCGACACAGACTCTGGGGTTTGCTTGCTTTCTAGGAATCTTTTTCCCAGAAAGTCTGGAACTTTCGTCGGCGCCGCCCATGAAAAATAGCTCCGACAGAACGTTGCTCATCATTCCGATGATTTCCCCTCCCTGGTCATCGCCATTCGGACACAAGGATTCGGAGCGATTCCCGACACGGTCCGAATCCGGCCGAGTCGAATCCGTGGACGATGAGACGACATTGGGAGCCGGGAATTCACAGAGAGAGCTTGCGTTTCGGGTAAGGAAGTGGTCGAGGTCGGAATTGTCGGCGGTCGGGAATCCCTTGTTGGACCGGAGCCGGTTCAGCCAGTTCGAACCGGACTTGGTGGCCGGCACCGAACAGAGCATTGCTGAGGTGGCCGGATCTGATTGGCCAGGTGGATAGAGCTCGATGGGCTTCGACGCCGACAATTGCAGGCGGAGATGGAGAGAAATTAGGTTTTCTGAGTTCGAATTCGAAAGCTTGAGACTTGAAACGACCGTGAGAAGCTCCGCGGTATGTTTCGTGGTACGTGGTGGTAGTTGAAGTTGCTTTTACTTTTTACTATCAAGCATGAAACACGTGGGGTTTTGTAAGTACTATTTCGTTATCTCATGGAAGTTTTAATTTTAATCTTTCTAACTTTGCTTATTTTAGTAAGATGGTCACTTAAATTGGTACATCTGAAATACGGACACATATATATGTTCTTGATTTGATCTCATTTTGTTAGATTTGTAGACACATGCTATTGTCCAATGTCATTCGACCCCTCAATCACGTGACGAGTAAATCTTTCATCCAAACATATGTATAATGACTATCATACACAAGGAGTCAAAGGAGAGAATGGGTGAGACCAAATTAGGGTGCTTTGTGTATGTAAATGAACAACTATGTGTTTCGGTCATCCGCACTCAAGAATTTCTCCTAAACTCAACCCTAACGTTTTTCTTTCCAGAGTACACATTAATCAAATAGATTATTGGACTCTATTTAGCAATACTCCCTCAAAGTTCAAGTAAGCCCAAAGAAAAGACCAATATATTTAGGATCTCTCATTCCAAAATTCAAAGATAAAAAAAAGGGCTTCAATCCTTTTCATCTCTCAAAAGTAATAGGAACATTACTGGTGGACCCAAAGCATAATGATTTGCGATCGAATAGCAACTTATATGACACAGATTTACCGTCACATGACACCTTAATTTAAGAATATAATGTCATGTAAGGAAAAACTTACTGACACACCCCGACTCGGAATGTCCACTTGGACTCTGAATCGAGTTGTGTTGACTGACACCTGAAAGGTGACGAAGTCATAAAGTGTAGTGTAGTGGAAAAATACAAATAAATTTAAAACCTACAATTGCCTAATTAAAAGAGTGCGCGGGTAAGCGGGATTGAACCCATTTCACACGTGATGGCAGAGCATAAGAACAATACAGTAATTAGGGCGAGGGTTATACCACTGAAGATAACCATCCCCTAAGATTTGACAGAATCCTCGTTTACACATAAGCACAACCACTAAACCTGGAGGGGCGAAAAACAAAGTTGAGTGGATTAGAAAATAACGTTTTGTAAAAACCTTTTCAAAAACATTATAACCCATCGCCGTAAAATCAAGTATAATTTCCAAAATATACGTACTACATATAGTAAGAAATACTTACCGTAGCCTGCAAAGTCTCGCGAAATCAATAAGGCACAGTTATAGCAATTAAGCACAAGGTGACCAATATCACATAAGCTCGTAATATGTAAACATAAAATAACAAATGCTCATCGACACATGCTGACACACGAGTCAGAGTTGCCTAATGCAACATGTACGATAAGACTGAGTGTAATAAATGCGCTCTACTACTACAAACACATGAAGGCTGGCGCTGAAGTGCAGTCACATACGAGTCGGAATTGCCTAATGCAATATGGACGACATGACTAGCACCTAACTTAGATCCAAGGCAAGCAAATGGTGTGGATGTGAACATACACATGAAAGACTAGCTCTGGCCCTAGGCGGAGTACTAACACCGGGGTGCATCAATGATGAGCAGATGACATAAATAAAATCGTGCCATAAAGATTCGATAACTCTAATCAACATAGTAATAATCACAGCTGTAAATATAATATCATGGTATCTCGTGTATACCTATGAACCTATAGAGCGCATAATAATTCCCTAGGTTCAATCATTTCACTACTTCATGTAATTTTAGTCTAAGCAAGGCATACGTAGTAAATTATTTTCACAGTATAACTAGAAACTAGCAAGTATACGTATACTTATAAAAAGAAATGACCCACTCATAGTTACGCAGTCAAAACAAAGCCTCCGAGCCTTGCTTGACCTTGTACGTCCTCGGGATACGTTTCCTCTATATGTGAAATTACTAATTAACTTAGTTTAATAACACATAAACGGAAACTTAAATAAAACCTCTGTAGATTGCTCAAACATAGGGTTTGAATAGACGAAGTCGATCTACTTGACATCACAGACCTACACAAATTGATAGAAAACCAATCGGAGGCCAGACGGGCTGCCACTAGCTGGCTAGGGCACGGCCATACGCATCACCACGTGCAGGCAAAACCCTGACATCTGTTAGGAATATTCTGTTAGTTTGACGGAATATTCCATTAAATAATTAACAGATTTTACCTGACGCAGTTAGAATATTCTGTCAACTTTGATGGAATATTCCCTCGTCTTCTCTAGGGGTCCTCGTTGGTCGCCGTAGTCTGAACTCGCCGGAATCTGGAAATTTTCGCCAGTTTCTGAGTAAAATTTCAAAATTTCATATCTTTTTCATTTCTCAACCACTTTTCAGAAAATTTATATGGAAACGAAGCTTATGAAGTGTAAAATTAGTTTATACCTTTTGGATGTCCAAAAATGAATGGGAAAAGGCCTGAGATTGGCTCGATAGTCTCGGCTTAAACTCGGCCACTTGAAACTCGTATGTTGCGATGTCAACTCGTCCTCAAACCTTCACTAAAGACCTCGAGGAGTAGAGTGGAGGCCTTTAAAGTTCCTAAAAACTCATAAGTTGTTTGCGACTCCTCAGGGAAAAACTAAGCCGAGTCGGACCTTCCAAGTTCGACGTGCAAAACTCGGTCAAACCACGATCCAAGGGCACTATTATGTTCATGGTGGTGAGACGAGTTTGATGGTGTGGTTTTCAGGTCATGTTTGTAAGGTTTGGTGTCTGTTTGAGGGAGTTGCAGAGTGAGAGAGGTTTCGAGTTTGAGAGAGAATGAGAAGAGATAGAGAGAAAAGGTGCTCTCTGATTGGGTGAAGGGTTTGATGGTGATGATATGATTGGTTGCTTTCAAATGAGGGAAAGCAATTGATTGGGTGGTAAGGATGAATTCAAGGAAAAATCAAAAGTTTGATTGGTGGTTTGTGTGAAGAAAGGGGGACCGGATCCACCAATTAAGGAAGGGATTGGTGGATTTTGTACAATTCTTAATGTACAAAATCTGCTTCCCTACAGTGTTTCAAACGCTGATAATTTGTACACGCGTGTACAAAAATACCTGTAACTAACGTACTTTAACGAAGCGTAATTTTTTCGTTACAGATCCGATTCGAGTCTAAAACGTGCTCACGCGTTCGTAGCGACGAGTACTAATTTAGTACGAAACTAGGAAAATGAAACTGAAAGCCGAAAACCACGTCCACATTAGATTCCACTTTTGTCCAAGAAGAGTAAAATCGTCAACTCACACCAACAGAAAAAGAAATCACACTGAAAAGTAGGGATGTGTCGTCACACTTACGCACATCATTTTTATCGAAATGGAAAGCCAATGTCACAATAAATTCATTTCATATAAGTCTTTCTCCTAAAACTAACCAAATTCACATCTTATTAACTTGCACAAATTGGAAGCAAAATTGGTGGCAATGGATCGTCTCTTGTTCACTTGTTTATGTCTTACGTTTGTGTTAACCCACATATTGATCAACACGCAAAATTATATAATAATAATAATTTAACACAATTGATTTGTATTTATTATATGCACATCAGGTTATATACTCGTAATTCGAACCGTATAATGTGTGGCGTCCGTAATTGCCACCCGAAATTTGATCATTTATAGTTTTATACCAACTACGATTCGCCTAACAAGTAGTTGACAAGTAGTTAATCACATGGCATATAATAAGTAGCCTAAATACTGGTTAAGAATCAATCTTTCACTTCACAGTTAACAAACTTCACATCATATTAACTATTACAGACAAAAATATGAGAAGACAAGTGGTTGAGCGTGAACAGGGACGGAGCTAGAAATTTCTTCTAGTGGGGGCAATTCGAAAATCAACTAAGATAACTGTATTACGGTATAGCTTATACCCAATATGATAATAGAGTTGATTTCAAATGATGATGTATCACAATTTTAATGTTACAAAAATTTCAATGTAGTAGTGGAAAGTGGCAGAGTGATAAGAAAAATATAAATACATGATTACGCGGGAGAGAGGTTTTTCGATTTAAATGACAGAACAAAAGCATTTTTGCTCATATAATAATTGATATGAATTATATGCAGTATGTAGGTATGTTGGACATTAGATACCTATATTTGCTTCAAAGATAACGCGTATGTATTATATAATTGTAGTTGGCAACTTAACAAATGAATTACTTGAGTGGGACATATGCCCATGTGAGCCTCCATCCATAAGCGTGAATTCTAACAGTTGGCCCCCGCAAAATCCAAAAAGGGGTGTGCTATCCACACACCCCAAATTACTTCTCACACACCCTTGTTAAATTCTATCCGTTGATCTTCTTCAATTCATCCTATCTGAAGGCCAAAAATTAGAAGGGTGTGTGAGAAGTAAAATGGGGTGTGTAGATATCACACCCCTCCAAAAATAGTCAAACAAGATGATGCCGTCGCCACAACTTAAACAACAAGAACAAAAATTTAAAAGGGTTTAAGCCAACGTTAAATCCAAGAAAATTTGAAGAGCCACTCGCACTGGCAGGAAGGCAAAGATATGTACTCGGAAATTCGAATGTAGAACGACAAACGTACGATTTTTGGAGTTTTTTTTGTTGTGTTCTTTTTCCTTTTGATAATTCTTCTATTTTTTGCAGCTTCTATTTTTTGTTTTTCCTCATTTTTCTCCCGCAATTCTCAGTGTATGCCATTGAAACGACACCGTCACATGAATCCCGAACTCCTCCTTCCCGCCTCTCAATAACTTTCCCTGATTTTCCACCCACTGTTTTCTGATATCTCCTTCTGGGTTTGATCTTTTTTTTTTCCAAAGTTTCAAGCTTTATGCATATTTTTTTTGGTTTATATCTATCGGCAGCAAAAAACCAACTTGATTAAATCTTTTAAAAAAGTATGCAGCTTTCTGTTTAGTTTCTTTTTCTCTGGTATTTCTTCTTGGTGGGGTTTCCTAGGTTTCGTAGGTTGTTGTTGTTATGTACGGATTCTATGGAGGCTTTGTTTAGATTGTCCTAGGTATTGGAGAGAGTGGAAACACCAACAGATACTACAATGGAGGTCGCAGGTTTGTATTTGATGGTGCTTCTGGGTATTTCGTTGGCATTGCTTGTTGGAGTTTTGATCGGATGGTCGTGGAAACCAAAGTGGGCATTCTCTGGCAATGACAAGGACAAACTAGGCTGCCCTGTGCCTAACGCTTTTGATTTTTCGTCAGCTCTATGCTTGAATTGTTTTGAGTCATTGGTTTCCCAAGGTTGTGAAGCTCGCTGCATGGGTAAGGGAATTCAGAAAACTCCTTCTGTATCGCCTCCGGCTACCGAATTCGATGAGGGCAGCAGGTACTTGGTATTTGTCAGAACATACTTCTGTTACCATGCTTGTTACCATGCTATTACAATTGTTTGTTATTTGCTTCTGACTTTTGATCCCTTGTATCGATTGAAAAATGGTTACTTGTACCAAGCTATTATAATTTGGGTTTCTTTAGTTGTTATTACTTTTACTGTTGGGCGTCTTTGATGTCTTGTAGACGTTTTGATGTACGGTTGAAGTTTATCTGATAAATATCGTTTACTATAAAAAGTGGAAAATGGTGTTGAAATTTCTAGTCTTGATTGGATAGATTTTTTATGACGTTGAAAATACTCACTAATTGATTGTACTTATCCAGCACATCGCAGCTGAATGAGGAGAAGCCGACTGTAGTGACTGAGGAGGATTTAGAGGTTTTATCCGAGCTTGTAGATATGAAAGATGGAGGTCCTCCATGGATACAGATGATGGATCGCTCCACCCCAACTATGACCTACCAAGGCTGGCGTAGGGATCCAAAGGTAATGGTTTTCCCTTAACTTTTGCTTTCTTGGCCAGCCGCTTTGTTGAGCTCTTTGATTTTACCATTCAGTTTTCTCAATGTTGTGTTGTATTCTTCTTGTTGGGGATTTGATAGGTCGGTCCTCCTCAATATCGTAGCAGAACTGTCTACGAGGATGCAACGCCGGAATTAGTGAGGGATTTCTTCTGGGATGACGAGTTTCGACTAAGGTGGGATGACATGCTTAGTTATGCGAAAACCATAGAAGAATGCCCGACCACAGGAACCATGGTGACGCTGTGGATTAAGAAGGTAAGGCTTCCCTTTTGTATGTTCTAACTGGTCAATGTTTGTTTTACTTTTACTGGTTGATTCTCCCTTGCATATTCTTTATCTCTGCCATGCCTTCCGTTCTGCAGTTCCCGTTTTTCTGTAAAGACAGAGAATACATCATAGGTCGTCGAATTTGGGAATCTGGGAGGTTGTATTATTGCGTGACAAAGGTATGCGGAGTGGAAATTTTTTTTTTATTCATCGATGCACTCTTGTTACACTTCATTTGATGACACATTGTTTGCACACCGGATATAAATTGACAGATCGAACTAAAAGATAGCAGCAGTTTCTCAATTTTTGTTTGATGAAACATAAGAAGCTTTCTGTCTTTCATGTTTCAGGGAGTGCCCTATGCTTCTGTTCCAAGACATGACAAGCAAGTACGTGTAGATCTGTACTTCTCAAGTTGGTGCATTCAAGCAGGTAAGTTCTGCCAATCTTCGATCTGTTTTCATCAAAATAATATGTTTATATTCCGCTTGTGACTATGTTAGAGTCGATAGAGCTGTTCAATCTGTAATAAAGTGACATTTTTGTACATAACCAGTGGAATCAAGAAGGGCTGACGGCCAGCTGACTGCGTGTGAGGTTATATTCTTACATTACGAAGATAATGGACTCCCATGGGAAATTGTAAAACTTGGAATAAGAACAGGGATGTGGGATACAGTCAAGAAGATTGAGGCTGGCTTACGCACCTACCAGAAGGAAAGAGCAGCAGGATCACCACTTTCCCGGCCAGCCTTTATGGCTCAGATCAACACGAAAATACATCCCGGGTACCTGAAATCCTCAGGAGCCACAGAAGACTCATCACAAACTGAGGTGGTGATTGCATCCAAGAAGCCTGCGGGTAGGCACATACCCAAGCTCTTAATACTTGGGGGGACAATAATCATTGCTTGCACTCTTAATAAGGGACACCTGATGAAGGTGGTGATATTTGGGGTAGGCGGAAAGCTTGCAAAGGTAGGAAAGAAATTGCAAACAAAGAGTGATCGAGATTCAAGTTGATCCTAACCAAGAACGTTGGCTGGTATTTGGTAAATGATCCTGAATAAAACCTTTTATCTATTGTTCAACGGGAAAGAAACAATGGAAGATTGCTTTTCGGTTGAATAAACAATGTAACTGTTACGTTTAAGTTGTATCCAGAAAACAGATATATTTTGTTGTACATAAACTTAACAGATTGTTGAAGTTTCCAGCAGGCTGCTGAATTTAGGGAGTTCAGCATGTGTATCTTAGATGATGAAGAGATATAATAATACCTAGCTATTGCTCTTGTTTCTTTTTCTTTGATATTGCAGGAAAATTTAAATTATTGGATGATAAGTAGATCGATCATATTTTATATTGGATGAAGTATGTACAGAGGGAAGATATAACAAGAGCGGAAAGATTCAGTCATGTGTCGCTACGATTCGTTACGTAAATTAAGGGCCTGAACGAGCAGATACATGCTTTCGCACAGGGTTTAGGGGTGCTAACGATCGACCAAGGTTTCAAACGAGTCTAATCCGTCAAATTGGGGTGCCAACTTTGGCATCTGAGTAGTGTTCGCCTTGGCCTTCGCTTTTGCTACAACATCTTGGATGGTTGCTCGAATCCCAGCTCCGAGTTCCTGCTTCAAGAACTTTCAAATATCAGCTGGCGAAAGCATCAATAACGGAAATATTAGTAGAGAGGTGGACTAACCTTTGGTTGGTAATGGTTTTTGTCGAGGAAATATATCCCGGTTGCGGCAGCAACTAGAAAAGGCATCGACACATACACAGCCATTGCAGCCTGAGAAGAAATAATTGCTCTTTAGGTGTTGGTGGATCGGTGATGATAAATTTGTGGGTAAATATATGTAGGTTTTAAGTTTGAATAGAGAGAGAAAAGGTGACGAAAGAGAGGCGGGAGAGACAGTAAAGCGTAGGAATGCGAGATGCCTTGGTGGTAAGGACAAGTAAAGATTGTTGTCAAAAGAATGGAAGGTGGGGAAAATATAAAGGAAGCTGTGAAAGAGGGTAAAGTGAGGAAAAAGTAAAGACCCAATGTCATGATCACTATTCACTAGTCGGTAATCCCAACCAAGAAGGCTCTCACCCTTGAAAGGATCGGGGAGAAGGGAACGTCTATCGTAAGCAAATTTACTTTTACTTTGTAAAAAGGTTGTAACCATGATTCAAATCCGTGATCTTTCAGTCAACAAAAGAGTAATCATTTCGTTGTACCAAAGATCACGGATGTTGCGTGTGATCTACATAAATAATTCTACTTATGGTTCCATATAAATATACATGTAATTAATGAAGGGCTCGTTTCGAAATTGTTTTTATATGATTGAATGCGCTTTTAGAGAAAATATTTTCAAAACCAATACAACAACAACAACAACAAAGCCTTTTCCCACTAAGTGGGGTCGGCTATATGAATCATAGAACCCCATTGCGCTCGGTTTTGTGTCATGTCCTCCGTTAGATCCAAGTACTCTAAGTCTTTTCTTAGAGTCTCTTCCAAAGTTTTCCTAGGTCTTCCTCTACCCCTTCGGCCCTGAACCTCTGTCCTGTAGTCACATCTTCGAACCGGAGCGTCATTCGGCCTTCTTTGCACATGTCCAAATCACCGGAGCCGATTTTCTCTCATCTTTCCTACAATTTCGGCTACTCCTACTTTACCTCGGATATCCTCATTCCCAATCTTATCCTTTCTCGTGTGCCCACACATCCCACGAAGCATCCTCATCTCCGCTACACCCATTTTGTGTACGTGTTGATGCTTCACCGCCCAACATTCTGTGCCATACAACATCGCTGACCTTATTGCCGTCCTATAAAATTTTCCCTTGAGCTTCAGTGGCCTACGACGGTCACACAACACGCCGGATGCATTCTTACACTTCATCCATCCAGCTCGTATTCTATGGTTGAGATCTCCATCTAATTCTCCGTTCTCTTGCAAGATAGATCCTAGGTAGCGAAAACGGTCGCTTTTTGTGATCTTCGCTAGATTGCTCCGGTCATTAGTGTGGATAAGTATATAAATGGATAGAGATAGGAAAGCAAACACAAGATGTACGTGGTTCACCCAGATTGGCTACGTCCACGGAATAGAAGAGTTCTCATTAATTGTGAAGGGTTTACACAAGTACATAGGTTCAAGCTCTCCTTTAGTGAGTACAAGTGAATGATTTAGTACAAATGACATTAGGAAATATTGTGGGAGAATGATATCGTAATCACGAAACTTCTAAGTATCGGAGTGTGGTGTCGTCTTAACTTGCCTTATCTGTCTCATAGGTAGATGTGACATCTTCTCTGGAAGTACTCTTCCTCCATCCAGGGGTGGTATATTTAACTGGTGGAGATGCACAAGGTAATGTATCAATTTCACTTGAAGCTTACTTGTAGTTTCAGGCTTGGTCAAGCGCGATACAAACCATGTAGTAGGAGTCCCCCAAGTCGCCGAGCTAGGGGGTCTGCTGAAAGAGGTGACAGACAAGGTAAGCAATCAGAGCTCCAACTGATTGGTCACCTTCTCCCCATCTTGCAGTAGCATGAAGGATAAAGAGAAGAAAAATGAGAAGAGATGATATGAGATACTTTTGCTTTTGAAGAAGTAACTTTCCACAGGCTTATTCTTGAACTGAGCTGGAGGGTTTTCTGGTTTCCTCCAGAGTATAAGGCCGACTGAAGAATTTGAGGGTCAAAACAAGTCCATCAAATCTAGAGTACGTTCCACCCTGCTGATATGGGATACTTTTGCTTTTGACAGAGTAATGGATGTATCGGCACGTGTGCTGTTACGCTTGTCTCCACATGCTTCCTTGTATCCTTCGCACTTGCCCTATCTGTTCCTCAAGCAGATGCGGAATCTTCCCTGGAAACATAAGATGTTGAAGATGAGTACTCGAGAGCAATGCCAGGTAAGTAATCAGGTAAGGGGTTCCAGGCAGTAAGTTCCTGGCTGGAAGCTTGATTCCAAGTGCTGACTGATTGCTCTCTTTCTCCTTGTCTTGCAGGTAAAAACAAGGCCAAAGGAAAAGACAGGGAAAAAGCATGATATGGGATACTCTTGCTTTTAACCCTGATGATATGAGATATTCTTGCTCTAGTATAGCTTGTTTGCAGAGGTATTATCGGGGGGAAAGAAAGCAGAATATTTCGAAAGGCTTCGTTGGGAGTGCCCTCTCAGATATGGTGAAGGGTTGAGCATTTTTGCAGGTCTGCCTGTCTGTTGGGGATGGAGGTCGACATATATAGGAGTCTCCCTAACAAGTAGTAATGCTATTCCTTTACCCTGCTTGGTCATAACACGGTAGTGGGAGCTGCCAGTTTCACATGTTTTAACTCTGTCAGAGCACTTTGAAAAAGTGGTCTGTGGTATCTGGCTCTCGAGATTTGGAGAACGATGCCTCTTCGATTTTTGAGAAAGCAATCATGCTGGGGGTCTGGCTCTCGAGATTCGGAGAGCAGTGTCTCTTCGATTTTTGAGAAAGTAATCATGTTGGGAGTCTGGCTCTCGAGATTCGGAGGACGGTGTCTCTTCGATTTTGGAGCAAGCAATCTTGTTGGGAGTGTTTTCTCGAATGTGAGTAAAGGTTGGGCATGTTTTCTAGTCTACCTTGCCACGAAGCACAGAGGTTGACAAACAGGGACTTTCCAATTATCCAGCAGTGGTACTGTTCCTTTACCCTTGTGGGTAATAATATGGTAGCTAGACCTTCAAAATTTATGTGACTAAACTTTGTTAGTGTTGTTTCTTTGCTATTCTTTTACCTTTCTTGGTCAGAGCGATGTAGTGGGAGCTGCAAGCTTCACGTGCTCAACTTTGGCAGAGAACTTTGGCAAAGTTATCTGTGGTACCCATGAGCTATTGTTGCGTGTAGGAAGTGGGTGATTGAACAGTAAGATTCATGTGCTTTCTACTTCACCAGAAGTCTTCGACAGAATGCCCATAATTTCTGCAAAGCTGAGTATGCGTGTGACAGGTGCTGACAAGGCTAGAAAAGTAGGTGCCTCTTCGATTTCTGAGATCGGCCCTCGTGGTCTCTGAGCAGCCCAGCTTTTGAGAAAGCGAGCGCCTCTTCGATTGATTCGGAGAACGATGCCTCATCGATTTTTGAGAAAGTAATCATGCTGGGGGTCTGGCTCTCGAAGATTCGGGGAGCAGTGTCTCTTCGATTTTTGAGAAAGTAATCATGTTGGGAGTCTGGCTCTCGAGATTCGGAGGGCGGTGCCTCTTCGATTTTGGAGCAAGCAATCTTGTTGGGAGTGTTTTCTCGAATGTGAGTAAAGGTTGGGCATGTTTGCTAGTCTACCTTGCCACGAAGCACAGAGGTTGACACATAGGGACTTTCCAATTATCCAGCAATGGTACTATTCCTTTACCCTCTCTTCGATTTTTAAGAAAGTAGTCATGTTGGGAGTCTGGCTCTCGAGATTCGGAGGACGGTGCCTCTTCGATTTTGGAGCAAGCAATCTTATTGGGAGTGTGTTTTCTCGAATGTGAGTAAAGGTTGGGCATGTTTGCTAGTCTACCTTGCCACGAAGCACAGAGGTTGACACACAGGGACTTTCCAATTATCCAGCAGTGGTACTGTTCCTTTACCCTTGTGGGTAATAATATGGTAGTTAGACCTTCAAAATTTATGGGTCTAAACTTTGTTAGTGCTGTTTCTTTGCTATTCTTTTACCCTTTTTGGTCAGAGCGATGTAGTGGGAGCTGCAAGCTTCACGTGCTCAACTTTGGCAGAGAACTTTGGCAAAGTTATCTGTGGTACCCATGAGCTATTGTTGCGTGTGGGAAGTGGGTGATTGAACAGTAAAGATTCATGTGTTTTCTACTTCCCCAGAAGTCTTCGACAGAATGCCCATAATTTCCGCAAAGCTGAGTGTGCGTGTGACAGGTGCTGACAAGGCTGGAAAAGTAGGTGCCTCTTCGATTTCTGAGATCGGCCCTCGTGGTCTCTGGGGAGCCCAGCTTTTGAGAAAGCGAGCGCCTCTTCGATTTCTGAGATCAGCCTTCGAGGTCTTTGAGCAGCCCAACTTTTGAGAAAGCAAACGCCTCTTCGATTTCTGAGATCAACCCTCGTGATCTCTAAGCAGCCCAGCTTTTGAGAAAGCAAACGCCTCTTCGATTTCTGAGCAGGCGCCTCTTCAATTTCTGAGCAGGCGCCTATTCGATTTCTGAAGCTCCGTCGAGTGCAGATTTTTATAGGGGCTGGCATTAAGTTCCAAAGCACACTTGAATCTCCACCAGTAGAAGCTTCATTCTTGCACTTCTAAGATCTTGATTTGTCCGACCTCTTCTCTCTTCAACACCTTTGAAAATGTCTGGCCCCTCCGATCGTCGTTTTGACTTGAACCTTGTTGAAGAGGCAGCCCCGCCTTCTCCAGACAACATATGGCGCCCATCCTTCATCTCCCCTACTGGTCCTCTTACCGTTGGGGATTCCGTGATGAAGAATGATATGACCGCTGCGGTGGTGGCCAGGAACCTTCTCACTCCCAAAGATAACAGACTACTTTCCAAACGGTCTGATGAGTTAGCTGTTAAGGATTCGCTGGCTCTCAGTGTTCAGTGTGCAGGTTCTGTGTCTAATATGGCCCAACGCCTATTTGCTCGAACCCGCCAAGTTGAATCATTGGCGCCTGAAGTGATGAGTCTCAAACAGGAGATTAGAGGGCTCAAGCATGAGAATAAACAGTTGCACCGGCTCGCACATGACTATGCTACAAACATGAAGAGGAAGCTTGACCAGATGAAGGAAACTGATGGTCAGGTTTTACTTGATCATCAGAGATTTGTGGGTTTGTTCCAAAGGCATTTATTGCCTTCGTCTTCTGGGGCTGTACCGCGTAATGAAGCTCCAAATGATCAACCTCTGATGCCTCCTCCTTCTAGGGTTCTATCCAGTACTGAGGCTCCAAATGATCCCCCTCAGGTGCCTTCTCTTTCTGGGGCTCTACCGACTGCTG